TTTCAGGGGGAGTGAGTACATTTGTTAGATTTCTCTGTTTAAATGATATTAGCCATTTATATTATATATTGATGTCAAACTATGATTACGTGATGCAAAAAGATGTGATAAACTTTGATTCAAAGCATTATTATGCCTTATAGACTGTGGCTGCCAGTGTGTCTGCTAGCTTCCACTGTCTGCTGGGAGTGTCTGCTAGCTTCAGCCGAGTTACCAATTATGGTAATATTACGTTGCTTGTGACACTCATTTTGTCATGCTGAAAGAGCTTGATGGCGCTGTTTCTGTAAAAATGGCGGACGAGTTTGTTTATCTGGAAAATTTGAAGGACCAGGAAAAGGTCGATGAATATGAAATTCTACATCGTTTAAAATTTAATAACGACATTCTTTCACACCTGAACGACCAACGAAAAAATGGAGTACTCTGTGATATGACTCTAGTTGTTGACAAGCACGAATTCAACGCCCACAAATGTATGCTGGTTGCTTGCAGTCCTTACTTCGAATCACTTTTACGTTGCAACTGGAGGGAGGCCCAGACCGGTAAGGTTGAGCTCGAGTGTACTTCAGTTGAAGGTATGGAGGCCATATTGAATTACATGTATACTGGAGTTATCACACTTTCCATGGATACCGTAGAGGATATAATAAGAGGTGCTGACCACCTATTATTAACAACACTGAAGCGCAAGTGTGAGAATTTTGTCATTGATCGTCTGGATGCACGTACTTGTCTGTGGGCACTGCAAATATTACAGCCGTACTTTGGTGAGAAAGATTTTCCATGTCTCAGAGTCAAATCACTACGAGTTTTGGCGTATCGTTTTTCCGAAGTTTTACAAGACAAAGAATGTGAGCCACTGTTGATGCAACTTTCTGCTAACTCGGTATGTGATATATTAGCACATGCTAATCTGGCTGTTAGGAAGGAGGAAGATTTGTTTGAGTTTCTTTTAAAATGGGTCAATCATGCTCGAAAGGAACGGGAAAAGGATTTCTCCAGATTGTTCTGTAAGCTACACCTTAGCCAGGTTGACACGCAGTACTTAACTGGCCGCATACAGAAAGAATCACTTGTTCAGCATAACCACGAAAGTAGAAAGTATGTCACAGATGTGCTAAATTTCACTTCGTCACCCGACACAAGCCCTGATGTGGAAGTGTTCAAACCACGGCCAGCTAGATTGGTAGATGTAGTTGTTTGTTTATGCCAAAGTAATGGTGGACCATTACTTGGATATTTGCTTGAAGAAAGGTACTGGATATACTTATCGCAACTTGAAGTTGATTGTGATACAATTTTTGATGAACTTGCTGTAGGACTGGGAAATCGACTGCTTTCATTTTGTTCTGGTTGGGATGTACCTGATAGTGGTGACCATGTAGTAATTAAGGCGTTATCATATATGTATGATCCTTTGACAGACCACCATGTCAATTTACCTTCTAGTCCCAAATATCATTATACATTCGGTAAAGCCCTGGTGTGTTGTGGAAAAGTATATTTAATTGGAGGTGAAGCAATTCAGGGTGTTGACGCACTTCACCGTAATTCCTTTCAGTCTGGTTTGACTGTTGAAATGTTGGACCCTGGTAGCACTAGCTGTTGGGTAGAGAAGCAGCCACTGCCGGAAGAGCCAGGTTGCATACTACATGCAGTGGCTACCAAAGATAGATATATCTACGTTGTATGTTATGGTTCTGGGTTGCTGAAGGTGTTACGACTTGATACGGAATGTGATATATGGAGATCTGTGTTTAGAATTGAAGTTGCAAACCAGAAAGAATGTATTCCGTGTATCGAGATAAAAAAAGAAGACAGAATTGAAGTGCAAGCATTGAATAACACAGCAGTTGTCATTCCATATAATACAAGTCATGATGTATACACCAAAGAGTCTACATTTCCACAAATTCCAATTCTGAGAATAGGTGCTGGTGTATGCAATATAAAAGGTGACATATTCGTTTGCGGTGGCCATGATAGTTCTGAGGATATGCTCGCTACTGACTCTGTCTGCATGTTTGACTCTTCCTCTCAATCTTGGGTAGACTTGCCTCAAATGCCAGAAAAACAGATTGTAACAACTTGTGCATTGTTGCAGATGCCTTATTTTAGTTAGTTAGAGTAACACAATCTAGGATGTTTTAAACTCCTTGGGTCACCTCAGAAATTTTGCGGTATCTTATGGGGTATTTTCATCCTACCATATTAGGAAATGTGAATTCCAAATATGGAATGATTATGCACGTAAGCGTCCTCTATAATAAAAACAATCATGGCTGCCACCAGAGTTTGACCGGACTCCATACAAAGAAGTTCACTGATTCTGTTCTAAACATTTTGGATTTTGGCAATCCCATGGTATACCCTTGGAAAGAAAAGATGTATAATAATTAGGTTATTACGAGAATACCTCAAAGTATGCACTCAGACAGTACGCCGCGCATCGACCTCTGCTGCACGTCGGACAATACTCCAGCTGTACTGTCTTTGTGCATACTTTGAGGTATCATTGTAATAACCTAATATTATTGTGACTATTATGGTATTTTACATTTATAAATAATGTAAATCATATTACTTAGATAGAATTACTCCAGTAGAAATTTGACAAACAAAGTAATAGGCCACAACAATGTCTCGATGGCATACAAATTCTGGGCATGGTTCGGTACCAGAAAACACATCATTTATTGTATTTGACCTAAAGTCAGATATATGTGGGAAAAAACATAAACAAAATGGAGATTTTCCCTTGCATAATAATTCATAAGAAATTTCTATTTTGTAGAATATTGTTAGTAATCTTTGTAACCATTCCAAGATATTCACATGCTTGGGTGTCGCATTAAGCAGCAATGGCTCCCTAAACAAAACTATGAAGAGACTCTCAAATAAGGCTAGAAAAGCAGAATGATTGATGGCTAATATTTATGATAACAATTTTAAACCTAAGACAAAACATTTTGAAATGTTTACAACTACCTATTTTACTATATGCATCTGAGTTATGGGGTATATCGGTTAAGACAGAAAAGTGGAACACCACTGTTACTGAAAAATTTCACCTAAAATATTGCAGGCACATTTTGAATATTAATAATAGAAGTAGTACAATAGGCTGTAGGCTTGAAACTGGCAGGCTACCTTTAATTTCAAAGATTCAAATTCAAGCTGTCATGTACTACCAAAACATTAGAAACAATGGTCCAATTAATTTTACTTTCCATGCAGTTAAAGAACTTGAAAACAACTGCTATAAAGGATCATGGTTGGAAGACATTAACAAAATTAAAGACCTGTATAATATTGATCTCCTGACTGTTTCTAGTAATGTACTCTACCAGAAAACTAAAGTGTAGGAGTGGCACTGCAGTATGGAAGATGAAGTTTATTTCATTACAGACTGTAGCTGCTACACCGATGAAAGGGATATTATGTACTCTGAATTTACTAAGGAAATCCCTGCTTTCCATTCTGAAAACAATATCAACAAGTTTATTATCATTATTAATACTAACCATCCTAAACTAATTGGACATGTGTCACAGTATCTGAAAGTGTGTTTTGAAAAAGCACAAACTACATTAATTTTTTACTACCTAATCTTATGGTATTTTAACATTTTTTTTTTTTTACTTACCTTTTTACCTTACCTTTTATTACTTTCAGCCAAAAATGAATTTGTAATTTCATTACGGTGTAATAAATCTGTATTATTATTATTATTACTAAGGAAAGAATTTTTTTCTAACAAATTAAAACCTTTGTTTGTGCATACCAATACAATGGATATATCGTACATGTATGTACTGTATTACAAAAGCATGTCATTTTCAAGTGTTTACTCCACAGTAACAATCCACTGTTCTATTTTAAATAACCATTTAATTTTTGCTATCAGTTTTTGGAGTTTGATTGCATTTTTAAGAACAAAAGTCTAGTATATCTGTAATCCACTATCATGAGGACCACAATAACAATTCTCAGAGGGGGTTTCCTCGCCTCACTCAACTCATCTTTTCTCTAGGTAATTACATTTAAAGGCCCAGGTATACTATAAATACGCTCCTAAACAATAGGGATTATTTCCTTGCTTGTTACGCTGTAGTAAACAGCTCCAGCCAAGCTCCAGTAAAAACGCGTTTTCTCGAACTTACATGTCTATTATGTCGTGCCAAAGTGGATGCATGTGACTATGAATATCACAGCAGTGACTGTGTGTAGTATTTATGACAATAAATAGTGTACGAGCTGAGATTTTGGCGGATAAAAGTAAAAAACATGAACCGGGGAAAGGGATGCGCGACTAATCTTGAATAATTACTATTGTCAATCAAAGTCACGTGATGTTGGACTGCTGAAACAGGATGCATCATAGGCTATGCAAGTGATTAATACTATGCATTAGAATAGCCACACCTCCAATTCACACTTGCCCAGGGCAAGTGAATTGGGCCTTTAAAGATTATTTTGACTATAGAAACACATCTGTAATTTACGCAAGTGCATTTGCTGCTGATAGAGAAAATACAGCATGCATTTTTTTGACCATGTCTAGTTGTAAACAAAGTGTGTTGAACCAATATTTCTGGTATATGTAATATCTGTACTATAAACAGAATAATTTTCAATTAAAATTTGATCATTGAATAGAATTATTGAAATTCACATTAGTTAAAGCGAGGGAGTCGTCACCTGCACATGCAGCAAATGGCCATAGCATGTCATTGTTTACAAACAAGCGTTTACCCATGAGTCTTTGCGTTTTTAAAGCGTGTTATTGTCGTTTGGGACTTAGTTCCCACGCGTGCGCAGGTGACAGGCCTCCCACTTCAATATGGCTGTATCAGTCGATGTGTATTTATTATCTCAATGAAAATTAGCTGTTTGACAATTTGTTTATTGTAAAATGAAAGTAATTTACAGTATTATTGTGCATAGTTCAGTTTAATAATGTACAATAAAACCTGTGTTAGTGACCACCTAAGCTCAGTCTCAATGCAATTTACATGTAAGTAACCTTTATATAAGACCACCTGTGACGAGTAGTGACTGTCATTTTCCACCAACAAAATGTTTATCACTCCATCACTACAAATGTATATGGGCAATGTCACTATGTCTGGAATTTGATCAATTTTTTTTAAAAGCACTATACGTAGCCTGAAATAGAAAGGCTATCAATTGTGAGCTATAATCTTGGGTGTGAAATATTGTGATAGTCGTCTAAGTACTGATAGTTAGGTGGTTGTAGAACACTTAGGCAAGCCTAAATTAAGAGTTGTGGTATACACTATTACACCCCACAACCCTAACTCCTAATATACTCTATCACAACTTGATTTGAGTGCTAGTTGTAGAATTGACCAAATCCGGCAACACTTATTTATTGAATACACTAAAGTTTTTGAAGCAATTTCATTAAAATAAGATCCTATTTTTTTTCATATATTTTTTTTCTATTTCCATCCACTAGATACCAGCAAATACATCAGAGAACGCTTTGAGGGTGTAATTTATTAGAAAGGTTTATCTCTGTGTCAGATCTTATATTGCAAAATGAAACTTTACTTTTCAGTTGTCAAAATACACACCCAAAAGACGAAACTCAGTTAACCCACGAAAAAGAAGTTTGGTTCTGACTGTTAAGAACTTGCCAATCTAACTGCATCCAACGAATCATGCGTTAACTATTTGCTACCCCCTTCATACAGACTGAGCATACAGTTCCTGAGCTCCCTGTAATTGGATTTAAAAGGCACACTGCACTCATCAATTGGCTGGTTATATATAAAATACAAGAGAAAGGGTTTGTGGTTGTGAAAGTACTAATCTCAATACCGGGTATACAAATTTTCCAAACAATGGATAAAAGAGAAAGGGTTTGTGGTTGTGAAAGTACTAATCTTAATATGAAAATTTTCCAAACAATGGATAAAAGAGAGAAAGGGTTTGTGGTTGTGAAAGTACTAATCTCAATATGCAAATTTTCCAAACAATGGATGATAGTGTGACTCCTATGTCCCCTTCATGTTGCAAATAAATTTACATTGTTAATGAGCAAAAAGTCAACACTATTGGAGTGTGATCCAGTTACCAGGCAACAACTAACTAATTTGCATATTAATTTTACATTCTGTCAGTCTGCAATACAGCAGTATATCAATTACCCAGAATCCTCTAGGATTTGTACTCCGACATCACTTTTTGTTTTGCCAATTCAGATATCACTAGTAACAGAAAATAGAAATACTTAGTGACATTGGTGAGAATTTTTACAACTAATATTCTACACTGAAAACCACCTAGGCTTATGGGTAATGACAGACGATTAGTGTCGAGAGATTCACCAGACATCAATACAACAGTTACAAATACACACTGCTCCCCTCGGATAATAAAAACACACACAATCATTTGATCATTTTAAAATAATTCTTTCACAACTCTTGTGTTTTATTGCACATACCGAGTTCTAAAAAAGAAAATCAATCCATGCTTTCAAATTTTGTGTACACAAACTATTTTACAAGCATTGTATATGTTGCATGAAAAAACATATCAACCATGATGCAGAAAGAATTCTGGGTAATACTAGCATCACTTAAACAAATTAATGAAATAACTTGAAACAAAATTTTGATTTCTGGAAAACAAAATAGAATTAAACATGTCTTGAATAATATGATAAGGTTGCTTGAATATAACACCACCAAAATACGAGTCATTGTGAGGTTGCTCACAAGATTGTGCCCTGATTGGCTATCTAACCAGTAACAGTCAGACCAATCACAGACCAGCTTGTTTGTTGACAGGCTTGTTCAATGAATCAAAAACTGCCTTGTGTACATGCTTTGACTCAAGTATAGCCAATCAGAAATCATGTGCCTTGTTCTGATGGGTAGAAAACCAATCCATTAAGAACATGATGAATATACTCATTGCCACAACGCTTGTTTATTTGTTGATTCAATGTGGTGCGGTGACTCTGGATAATTTATTGGTAAAATTATCAGCAACAAATTTTGCAAAAATAAACAAGCCTAAGTTGAAAGATCTATTTGGTGAGTCAGCTCCATCTTTTCTACCGTATAAAATATTGATATGTTATATGAA